TGAACCACTGCGCCCGGCAAGAATGTTTCTTAATTAACGGGAGAAACAGTCTTATTTATCACTGTATGCCCAGCATCTGGAATACACAGTGGATATATAAGTATATCCTGAATAATACTATGTTAAATTTTTTCTGCAGGAATTATTAGACTCTGGGAAGCTACAAAACCAAGACAACTAAAAATTTAACTTTTTTTCATTGAAACTTTAATTTTACTTGTGAAATACATAATTACAAAGAAAAATGTTTACATTTTGGTTATTAATTTTTTAGGTTTAGATATTACAAATTTACTGCATTGTTTTTGTCTTTTTAGGTAGAAAAAATTGCTTGGGCATCATGGACAAGTGTTCTTGGTTTATGCTGTGAGGGAATTTGGCCAGTAATTGGAGAAGTCACAGATGTAACTGCTTCTTGCCTCACCAGTGACAAAATGGTTCTAGCTACTGGAGATGATTTGGGATTTGTGAAGTTGTTTAGATATCCTACTAAAGTATGTCTTTTTCTTTAACTCTCCTAATAATCATAAATTATGAAAAGGCTAAGGTAATGCCCTCTCATGGCATCTCGTTGTAATATGAATAGTACATATGTAATATGTAATAGTGTAATATGAAAGGTTCAGAATTATGGTTCATATTTATAGCTTTTATCTGGAAGTATTATTTATAATTTATGATCTCATGCCTTAAGTTATATATTCTATAGTGTTTTTCAATATTGAGTGATGTAAATATCCTTTTTAAAAGAAACATTTATTTTTATCCCCAGTATTAACCTAAATAATTTTACTATTCTTTTGATTAAATATACACCATTAATGGTAAGTTTTAACCAATTAAATACAAAATACAACACCTATAAAATTAAAATAAACAACACTGATTTAATATAATGAATGATTTTTTGTTGTTGCCGAAACCAAACTATACAGATTGTCTGGAGTTCTACATACCTATGCTACTATGTGCTATGTGATTATTGAATTTTTTTTTTACCACTTCCCTCTATTCGCACAACTGTAGAACATTAGGCTTTTGCTTAGCACAAAAATAAAATTCATGTATCAAGTCCAGATACATGTATTTCTTGTCACAAATTAAGTTATATATTATAATCTGGCACCAACATGAACATAAACATAAATTTGAAATAGGACACTGAGTCATATTATGGTATTCAGTTCATGGTGATCTTAAGTAATTGCTATTAATATTTTTAGATCAGCATTGATACAAAAACACAGGTTTAAAAAATTCTTATTGAAAACTCAGACAGCCAAGAAAAGATTCCACAGACTCCTGTTTTAGATACATATAAATGGTAGAACCTTAGTTGATAAGAATATGTCCCACTGTAACATTTATTAGTCAGAAACTTCCAGCATTCCAGATGGTATAGATCCCTTAGAAATAGATTCTAGGGTATTGGTCTACAGATTCCTTCTTCACCTCACTCTAGTAAGAACCACACAATCTTAGAAAAACTACTTTCTCGTAGCATTTTGATGACATCTCCAACCCTAACTTTTTTTTTTTTTTTAGTGGTGGGATCTTGTGCTGTTTCCCATGCTGGAGTGCAGTGGCATGATCATAGCTTACTAGAGCCTGAAACTCCTGGGCTGAAGCCATCCTCCTAC